TAAAGTAGCTTTGACATGATTTGGCGAAAAAGCTTTTGTTGCCACGTTTCGGCAGCAAAAAAGCATGTCAATTGACTGGTGGTATCAACTAGCGTACTGTAGGAGGATGTCCCCGGAGACATCGCCGACTCGGTGGAAGCGGGCTGCCCGCTTGGGAGCGGCTGGGGCGTTCGCGCGGCTGTGCCGGCGCCGGCGCAGGTGGGTGGCCGACCACGCCACCAACGGGAAGACGCCCAGGTTTGTTAAGTTTCATCAGTATAAGTTTTCTTTATAAAACCTATGGAATAGCTGCGTTTTGGAACCTCCTGAATGGTGCACGGCGATAACTCAATGTGTTAAGTATTCGGTTTAAAAATGTATGAGAATGACGTGCAATCATCCCGATCGATGGATTTATCGCATAGTTCAGGGACAAAGTAGGTATGCATTCCTCTCAAATTAAATTTTGTTATTATTTCGCTATGTTTCGTAAAACCTTTCAAAAATGAATAAAAAATAAGTCACTTCCAAGTAAAAGTAGGATGCCCTATCACGCATTGCACTTTGAAGTGGTACAGATAGAAAAATAAATTTTAATCAATTTTTTTATACTTAGCAGCAGGTAAGTAGGTAGTTGTTTGAAAACTAACATTAAATGAAGTAGAAAGAAGAAAATTTACATTATATGGAACACAATATAAACTGCGTATAAAATTCCTTGCTCAAATGTGAAAATCCGACACGGCTGCTCACAGATTTAAATTAAAAACAAACCTACACTATCTACCCTTTAATCACAAAAATAATAGTAGGCTATAAAACCAAAAGTGAATGGAAAGCTAATCACCAACACTTATCAACGCCGTCATTTCGTCGAATAAATATTTATGACCGAAGTCACATCGTGTATTCTAATGTCAGCACGTCAAACTATACATTTTTTTTTGTAAAATAGTTCCAATTACAACTACATAAGGATGACTCCTGTGACCAGTGTTAAGCTTGATGTGACGTTGTCTGTACGCAATCGCTGCATTATAGAGTGCCACGCATGGTAGCGTGACATTAGCGCTGCGTTCGTCGTGTACTGCCTCAGTTCAGGGCCGTACTAAGGGCAGAATGCCCTTGGTATGTTTGGTAAAATGCTAAAGCCTAGATAAATAGGTAGAGTCAGGTATGGTGAATCGGTAACAGTCACAGGGAGGTAATAAGTTGTCACAACATCGATCTATTTAAGTAGATTTCGCACAGCTAATCTAGGCTGACGCTAGCAAATGCTAGATGAAAAAAGCCGGATCTCACTGATTCTCACAATTTGGGTAGAATACGTCTGCACTCTGTTACTTAAACTAATTTGTAAATGTGTAACTGCCTAAAAAGTGGTAGGAAACAAAAAGATTATTAACCTAGCTACACAAAGCTACATACGTAACGAAACCTAACTATGTCTAGGAGTTGTCTCGCTAGTCGCTACATTTTGCTAAGTTTGATCGTGCGTAAAACCACCGCGCTCACACCCTAACTCCGGCCCAGGTTCTGTAATTATTATTATAAGTTGTAGCACGCACGCCACTTGCTCACCTGGAAAATATAGGTCGGGCTATTTTTGCCGCCAAAGTTACAGTGAGGGCGATTGAGCCGGTGAGGTGACGTTTGGACAAAGAAAATTTGGAAAATTGTTAAATATAAGGGTTCCGTTTTTTCCTTTTGAGGTACGGAACCCTAAAAAACATGTTCAGGTAGTAGTTAGATGATGTCCATAAAAGTGTAGATAGGTAAATGGAGAAGTAAAGAAGAATAAATAAGTATTAACGCCTTTAATTTCCGACGCAAAAAGGGTTAAACACAGAGCAATTCAGACTGGTACTTAAATAGCAGGTATACCTACGTACTTGCACCTTAGTCTCAAATAAAATCTAGGTATGTGTACTACACTAATAATAACTTATTCAAGGAGTGTACTTAACACTGTGAGTTTTCAATCATCCTGTATAAGCCAGCAGACCAAGGTAGCTGACGTCAGCAAACAGGTCACACGCTACCATGGCAATGAGGAGCAGGCTATCCTCAAAGGCACGACAGCAGACACGCATGACATGAAGTGGTGATACGAAACATAACTTTTCTCTATTTCTTACCTCTAACAATTTGACTAGATACTGTCTACTTGAAGCCTCTTAGGCTACTTAATAAATAGGTACTCGAATGTCAGAAAGCAGACCACCAACATTATTTCCAATTGATTATGGTCGCATACCTCATCTACTTTTTATACCCCCCAATTTATGGAGGCTGTGTAGTTTTGACCTATAATGGGTGTAAAATTATGTAGACAACCAGTGCATAAAATCAGACATCATGGTTGAAACCAGAGACCAACATGATACTTCTATCATAGAAGAAGAACCTAAAAAATAATGCATCAGACTTGCTGAAAGAAATCAACTCATGCTCTACCATCTGTCAATTACTACAATTATTCAGTAAACACAGTAAACCTGAAACCTGACGTTTAAGCAGGTCAAAGGGTAAAAAGGTTACCCCAAAAACAACTGAATCACGAAAACGGCTAGTAAATCAGCAATTAACGATTTGTCAAGCGTTTTTACGATATGTACCACTTACTATGGGGTTTCGTTTGCGTGCGTGCGTGCGCACTATAGAGGTAACATTGGTTATTATAGAGCACCATTGACGTTATTTGGTACTTGTGGTTAATTATGTTAATGTTTTGTTTTTCCTTGACAAAGTGTTCTAGAAAACATTAAATGGTTTGTGGAAAGAGAACTGGGAACACTTCGTTCGCATACCGATTTGAAATTCACGTTTTCAGACTTATTTACAGCCTTCTACTAAAGGATTATTATCAGATAAATTAAATACCAATTGCTACTGATCGTGGAATACGCCTCCTTCACACTATCAAGTAGGTTTACTAACAAAGAAGTGTGACCTTTAATAATAATTCATAACAGTGTGGTGGCGTGTCATCGTAGATATTTCATTCACTTGTCTACCCAAGGAATTGTTTATTTACCACAGGACCGACAGAAAAGCAAATTACATTAACCTTTTCATGATCAGTAAAAATATAGGTAAAAGTAGGTACCGAATACAATATTGGGTGTGTGAAAAAAAAGTTAAAACTAGAACAAGCCCCACTCAAANCATGCTGCATGCTTGCTTTCATGCTGCATGCTCTGCATGCTTATCTACTCTATTAAATTATATATGATTTTTTAAAGATACGATTATGTCTACACTAATATTATAAAGAGGAAAACTTTGTTTGTTTGGTTGTAATGAATAGGCTCAAAAACTACTGGACCGTTTTTAAAAATTCTTTCACCATTCGAAAGCTACATTATCCACGAGTAACATGGGCTAAATTTTATTTTAGAAAAAAATAGGTTTCCGTAAAATATTTGGGTTTTTCGGAGTCCACGCGGGCGAAGCCGCGGGCGGAAAGCTAGTCTGTTATAAAGTAAATTATTCTGAACAACAACATTATGAGTTGAAGTATGTTCTTAGTAACAACATTATTAATTAAAACAATATGATCAATGAATGTTATGAAGAAAAAAGATCTGAAAATAAAAATTATGTATTTGAAATGGCTTTTGGTAGTAACAGTATTGATAAAAAAATTATGATTACTAACTGTTATGAGCTCCGATGGTAGTAATAAAAATGTATGAATAAAAAAAGTATGAAAAATAAAATTATGAAGAGAGATTATTATGAACACAAATCGGTAGTAAGACAAAGAATAGGATTTAGAATTTTATGTGAGCCAATATAGAACCGTCTAAAATACATCAGAAAAACGAAAGAAAGTGACCAGTGTTACATTTCATAAGTAAGTACTACAATTCGACGCGTATTTTGCTTGAATTTGGCTTTCAAAAATTAAATACGGGAATGATACCAGTAACAAGAAAATTTATTTCACAATTGTTCGCCGTACAAATACACTTCCTTTTTTATGAAATCGAGACTTTTAAGTCGATTTATCTTATTGTTATTAGGTAGATACTTTGAATTCAATAAATAAGTAAGTAAATGATGCGTTTTGTTTTTGTTAATTATAAAATAATTAAAAACGTATTAAAAATTTCCCTACTTTCGGGAAAATCGCCTTCACTGTCTACACTCCCCAACAAAATTGACACTAATGACATAAGATAGGAGATAAGACAAGATTTTGTTTTTAAACTCGATTGATTTCAGTATCTAAACAAAATTTCTATCATTTAGCACTTCTTTCATTTAAATACAATAATACCGACCGCCGCACGGATATCGGGCTCGCACTTCGCTCATCTTCGTGTTTCGGGCGTCATCGGCGCTCAATCGTGGATCATCGATTTTCTCCATTCATCAGTCCGATTTTGCTTCCCACGTCGAGAGGCTGCGCGCACGCTCCGCGAAATCTAGCTCGTATTTAGAATTCCTAGTACTCAATCGCTATTTCTTTATTTCTTGCCTTGTAACATCAACTTTTCTCTTCCTCTCTGCTTGATAAATGTTTTCTAGTAGGTACATAAACTTTTTACTACCGTTACCGTGTTCTATCTCTGTAAAAAAATATTTTAAAATAATAACGTAATTTAATTTCTATCGGCGTTTAATTTAAATTCCCTGAACGACTGTTAGGCTGTTAGTTAGGTTCAGGTTAAACTTCCATTCTTCATAACTTACATAAAATAATTCATCATCATGTTCGTGATTATTTTAAATGAACTTAATTTCATTAATTACACGAAATAACTATCAAAATGTATTGATATTCTTATCGTTTTAATAATAACGATTGAGCCNCAAATCATTTGCATTTGAGTGTTTTGAAAGCTTGCTTTAAGAGCATTAATGATAGGACGAATCTTTAGTTCACAAAGATTAAACAAAGTATTTTTCCCGCCGCTTTTACATTCTCATTCGTTGATAGACTTCCTGTACTAAACTGACGAAATTAAACTTTTCTGATGTTAAAAATTACGTAAAGTAGTTACGTTATAACGATAACTACCGATTCACGACGACATTCGATGGACGTATTTCATCGAATGCACTTTTCTAATTGCAAATTTGCGATTTTTGATTGTTTTCTCGTGCGGTTTTGAGTATTTAGTGTGTGAAAGTGTGATAGTGAGTGTAATAATAGTGAGTGAGTGTTAGGAAGATGCCAAACCATACGTACAGTGCTCGTGAGTACGTAAACATGGTTTACTGTTACGGGAGGGCACGTGGAAACGCATCTGAAGTCGCATCGGTGAGTAGGTAGGANGAGTACGTAAACATGGTTTACTGTTACGGGAGGGCACGTGGAAACGCATCTGAAGTCGCATCGGTGAGTAGGTACCTAGTTCTAAACTTAAAGGGATGTGTTTTTTTTAATGTAGGGAGTAAATAATCTGGTAATTTTGTGTACAAAATACTCCCGCGATTGCGGTAGGTAGTGGCGGAAAGCGCGTAGGTACGCTCCAATACACACACACACACACACACACACACACACACACACACATAGGAAACAGCAAACTAATTTAAAACGAACTTTAACTTTAGTTAGTCAAACAAAAATACCTATTTACACTACCTATTTTACGTGGCTTCCTTCAGTAGACTATCAGACATGATAAGCGAGCGATCCGCGTANGTACGCTCCAATACACACACACACACATAGGAAACAGCAAACTAATTTAAAACGAACTTTAACTTTAGTTAGTCAAACAAAAATACCTATTTACACTACCTATTACGTGGCTTCCTTCAGTAGACTATCAGACATGATAAGCGAGCGATCCGCGTAGCTCGATGGGTGCCGCAGTTGAACCGTATTGCAGTATTACGAGCCACAGTACAGTTGATGTCGCACGGAAAATATTCGCTAAAAATTCTACTTTAGTTTGTAATTTTTTTTTTGGTGGATAATGCGTTTATATAAGTCATAATAGATCACCTAAATAAATATGGCGAGGATTGAAATCAACACCCTGTATTTTCATAATGTTATGCATAATTATTACGACATGTGTTTGCTTATTTACACGCACTTAACACGAGTTCCAATATCCATGTAACATCTGTTCATACTGTGTTTGCTAAAATCATTAATCCAATCGAACGAGCCTGGAAAGATCTAACAATACCACCTTGATGATAACATGCGAGTAACTCTAAGAGTAGGCGCACACCGTTGATTTTTAGTTGGCCGATAGTTGTGCCCGATTTTAATTTGTATGAAGAATCGGCCAAATCGAATCGGCGTAGTGTGCGCACTCCCATACATGCCCATATACTGATCAACTGCCCGACTAAACTATCGGCCGACGAAAAATCAACGGTGTGCGCCTACTCTAACAAACAACCACTTATAGATTTGAAATTTGATAGAACGGTCATACGATAACAAATTTTAACAGCTGGGAATAAGAGTCCAAGTGTATTATTTTGGTTCTGTAGATTAACTTAGTCATCGTTGCTACCAAGGTTACAAAAATTACTAAATAAATAGTTTTTTTGTGACACGCCATTTTTTCAGTAGGCGGCAATTTCAGGCTATGGATTTATCAATGCTTATTCGTAAAGTAAAAGATGGGCTTACAAAGTAAGTACAGCTACAGACGTCTATATGAGATACGCTTTTTGAGCTCATCGATTAGGGTTAATTTACTACTCTATCGACTCAGTGGGGTAGCCTTTATGCGGGTGTGTAATATAAGTATAGATAAATATATAAATACACATGGTTTTACGCAAAATATAGGTAAACGCCAACATCTAATTGCATTTTATAAGCGTTGTTGTTATCTAATCCTAGGTACCTACATAACAGGGGTGTAGCTACCGCCCATATCAATGATACGGGGCCCCCGGGCAATAACCCTTTACTTATTCTGTTTGCAATGATCTTTTTATATGCAAGGGCCCCAACAAATTTTGATACAGGGCCCGTCTAAGGCACGCTACGTCACTGGTACATAGGTTGCCTGCGATTTCAATTCAATGACTACTTTTGAATTTAATGATTGTCTGTATCAAGGTCTTGTGAAACGAGCCATGTTGTCGTCCAATGTGTGTAGGCCAGTCGGTGTTTTGCGAACAATATTGTCGTGAGAACCGATTGTAAGGTAAATGTTTGGTTTGTAGCTTGTAAAGTGGGCCAGTTGATCGCACTAACATAACGATTCTTAAGTCTCGAATCCTTTTATAGTTTTCTATCAAAATTTATATTACAGAAAATTGAAAATTTAAAAAAGATACATTCAGAATATCGTTTGAACAATAATTTTTAGATAAGAGGTCGTCGCTTCTAATCAAATAATGTTATTATTTTTTAGACTTATATCATTTTAAAGATAAGACACTAGCGACAATAAGTGTGGCGAGCCTTCAATAAGATAAATTTTATCATCAAAAATATACTATGTAGTAGGTAGGTATATGTATTACCACATAATAAACGATAACTAGGTACCTACTTACCCCACAGGGCTGCAGCCTTATCTGTCTGATTTAAAAATATTAAATTAAATGTTATCTTATCTACTTATGTAGTACCCAATAAAACTACGTGGAAGGGTGAAGTCTATTCTCTAAATCTGGAGAATATCAAAATTATGCAATGTCATCATGTCATGATTATTACTTACCTGCCCCCCTAGACAAAACGCACTTTTTGATCGAATCGAAAATCGAATCCGTCAAAACTCCATAGTACAAAAAAGGGGCTTTTCGACCACTTTTCGACTGGTTTGCGATTATAATTTGCACTTTGTCTAGACCCACTGTTGTTCTTCTTATGTTACTTACGTCACCTTATTAGACATTATTTTACAATAAAATGAAACTTGCAACCAACATCTCTATAGATAGCTTCCACTCTTCTTCTTTTGTTTATGGACAGACCTAGGGGCCATATAAGTTACGTTTGTCCTGACGTCATCAACGCACATCCAAACTAAGCTTAATCTAAGAAGTTAAATATTTGCTAAAAGCTTGCTCTTGGTCAATACAATGATGATCTATTAATATAATGTTTATGAACTTCAAGATTTAACTGATATAACAAACAAAGAACGATTGTAAGTGGTAACAAGGACTATCAGCTACTTGTACAAGTAACAAGGACTATTATAACAAACAGTGCCCACTTTACTTTTCCAATAAGGCCTCCATTTATGATTGGTAATTTATGAAATATCATGCAATCATTATCTATTCGAATGGTAGTATGTCACTAGTAGTAGTAGAGAAAAAATCCTAAGCAAATATTTATCCGAAATGCTTCATGGCATGGCAGAAAAGATAAGATAAAACGCGCCTAGCAACCAAAAATATTTGATAAGTAGGATTTAACATTTTAACTACATAGATAGTTAGGTACTTTTGTCGACAACTTTAAATTTCACAATCTTGTAAAATAACTATGAAATCCTAATAAAAACCCTTGCTGTAATCTTATCTCTACACGATTGACGATTAGGATTTAATTTGTTAGGGCATCATGACGAATCAAAGCAGTCCTATAAAAGATTTTTCGTATCTGTTTAATAGTAGTAAATGTACTTATGTGATGGATGATAGGACATTTACCGGTGTTCAAGCAAGGTACGATTATTCAAGACCTGCCCGTGATCCAAATGCCGTATAAAGTGATAAATCATCACATCATTTCAGCAATACAAGGTCCACTGCTGAACAGCCTCCTCCCCCAATAATTTCCATCCATAATGACCGGTTGGTGGAAAGTGATAAAGCAAAATAAAATTTACTCACTTGGTTTGATCTCGGGCCATGTTTCTGAGGTGAATCTCTTGTCTTCGAACTCCTGCCCTCCATAAGCGAGGAGGAGGCGACCGCTCTCTCCCAGCGCCTTCACGTTGAAGTATGTGAACGAGACCTTGTTCCACGACATGGTTCTAAAAACGAAAGTAATTTCTTAGCGAATTAGAAAAAGTCGCTTCTCAAACAAAAATTTAATTAAACAACTTGAAAAAATCGAACTGTCTAAGGCAGTTCGATTTTTTCAAGTTGTTTAACTAAAAATATTTTCTCTGTTCCTAGATTAAAATGTAATTGAGTCATTCGATTTTATTGTTTTGATTAAGTAAGTTTATATTTCGATAATGGGCTTGCCAATCTTGCCATTAACAATCTCATCTAAATCTAAGGAGAGTTGTTCGTGCTCAGGGTACAGATTGATTCTATCACGTAGCAATATTCAGTCGACAGCACGTCAACGTAAACACTGTGGTATCTTACGTAGTTGCGATAGGGGCGACTTTGCAACGAAAATGTATAGTCTCTAGTAGACACTCTGCATCACGATGAGGATCATGGTAAGGACCATGTCTCAGCTTCGAAGTAATTATCATTGGACAGTCTTACTTTTTTTTAAATCGCTAGGGATCGAGTTATGTCGACATTAATATATTTATGTTTCGCGCCGTATTGTCAAATCTTTACGATAAACTATAATCGAATTAGGTAACAATTTTTAAAATTGTTATTAAAATTTCTTAGCGAATAGTCGCTTCTCAAACTAAAGGGTTTTAAATAGGTAAACAACTTGAAAGCAAGCGGAAGGTCGTGGATTCGAGTCCTGCCTTAGGTAGGCAGTTCGAATTTTTTCAAGTTATTCTAAATTTTTATTACGTAGGTACCTACCATATTATTTATTTATTTATTTTATTTAATTACACAGGTTTTATACCTTCTTACATAATTAAATAGTTAAGTAACAATAAACATAATAATATTCATTATATAAAATATAATTTTGCAATAAACACTTAATACAAACAGACACAATAGAGGAAAAGGGCCCAATGATCCTAAAATTCCCAGGGCCCCTATTAGGTTAAAGACGGCCCTGTCGTGGTGGCCCTGTCCATAATAATTCAAGTTTTGACCCTACCAGTGCAGTTTGCCGGTTAATTAGTAAAAAAAGTCTCAGTAGGTAGGTAGTCTTTTCAGTATTCGATTATCACGACAGATACGTAATAATTAAGTTATTTATGAAGCCCTAAATTTTAAAATGTAATTACTAAAATAGATCTGAGCATATAAATCCAAACCTGACGAATTTGATATTAACTACAATCGTAAATATTTTAAAAGATTATTACTATTTCAAAACAAAAATAAAATGCGATGTGTATTCCGCATGGATATACCTAGTCTGTTCTGTACTTACCTATTATGTGCTTGTAAGTAAAATCGTCGAATTAAATTAATGTCCAGCAGTGCAAATTATGAAAATTTATTAAATAAACTATAGAAGATTAGCAGGTACATACCAAAGTTTTTTATTTAAATTTTCCGTGCCGTGCGTCTTCACCTTGGATCGCAAAATTATTTAATGAATGAATGAAGTTTATGTGCGTGAGGTGAGGTGAGCGGCCAGTGAGTGAATTGGATTTGATTGAGCGAATGAAGCGCAGTCAGTGGTTTGTCTCCATCAGTGTTGCCAGAAGGTTACTTTTGTAACCTTTTAGGTTACTTTTGAACTGCATTGGTTACTTTTAGGTTACACTAATGAAAAGGTTACTTTTAGGTGATTTTTCAGAAATTGTAGAATTAACTTTTACAGGTTATTCAGTAAAAAATATTAATAGTGACAATTTAAAAATTATGTCATAAACTGCATTTAAGCATGAATTTGATTAATTATTTGTTAAAAAAAATGAGTTTTAACGAATATTTTTCGATAATAAAACGCAAATCCAGGAAACGTTTTTATAGACCGGTCACTTTTCGGTCTTCATGGAATGGTCAAAATTTCGAATTTAGGTAAAAGATAGATTGATAGATTAATGATCAATTGTATNAAACGAACTTTAACTTTAGTTAGTCAAACAAAAATACCTATTTACACTACCTATTTTACGTGGCTTCCTTCAGTAGACTATCAGACATGATAAGCGAGCGATCCGCGTAGCTCGATGGGTGCCGCAGTTAAAACGCATTGCAGTATTACGAGCCACAGTACAGTTGATGTCGCACGGAAAATATTCGCTAAAAATTCTACTTTAGTTTGTAATTTTTTTTTTGGTGGATAATGCGTTTATATAAGTCATAATAGATCACCTAAATAAATATGGCGAGGATTGAAATCAACACCCTGTATGTTTTGAAAAAATCGTACCCCTAGCTCAAAAGATGGGAAAACTGCACACATAAATATCTTTAAATGGCTCTACTGTAAAGTTTGGTTTTAAGACATACGATTAAAAAACTCTCTAAAAACTCATTAAAACTCATTTATTTCTGTAAATAGGCTTAAAAAAAGCACTTTTACACGTCCCAGTATTAACCCTACCACTGCTTCAGGACAATAAATGGGCCAGTGCTGAGAAGAAGCAGCGCAAGAAACTCAGTCACNACACACACACACACATAGGAAACAGCAAACTAATTTAAAACGAACTTTAACTTTAGTTAGTCAAATAAAAATACCTATTTACACTACCTATTACGTGGCTTCCTTCAGTAGACTATCAGACATGATAAGCGAGCGATCCGCGTAGCTCGATGGGTGCCGCAGTTGAACCGTATTGCAGTATTACGAGCCACAGTACAGTTGATGTCGCACGGAAAATATTCGCTAAAAATTCTACTTTAGTTTGTAATTTTTTTTTTGGTGGATAATGCGTTTATATAAGTCATAATAGATCACCTAAATAAATATGGCGAGGATTGAAATCAACACCCTGTATAGGCTATTATTTATAACGATCTATGACAAACTGAATTTCACGTAGGCGAAACCGAAGGCACAGCTGCTATTACAATAATAGAGAATCCTTAGCCTCCTGAAAATATGGAAACTCAGCTAAAATAAAAACAAAAGTCTACCGAATGTTGTAAAGATGTTACAATAACTAGCCGGTATAGTTTCTTCAAAGTGTTTTTAGTATCTTTTAGGTCAATGGACTCACAGATAGGGTTTGCTAAGGCTCTACGCCAGCTATTCTAGATTAGGCCACGACTAAAGTGGATTGGCCATTTTTCTAGGTCAGTAGATAGCCTAACTCGTTAATGTACCTGAGGCCTCACAGTGCATGTTACTGGCGATATAAAAAGAAAGGCAGGGAAAATAGACTTTAATGCAGCATTTCAAGGGTTTATAAAAGCTAGGTAGCTTTTATAAACCCTTGAAATGCTGCAAGGTAGAACTAGGTAACTTGAAACTAGGTAGTTACAAACTAACAAATTAGGTACTGTTGTTTTAAATACTGAAACTTTTTTTCACTTTTTTATTCGAGTCAATAAACTTTTTCATATTCAAATCATTCGTGGAAAGTCAATTTAAGAAAAAATTCGACAACGCTGCTCAGTTTGCTTACCATGAGTTTACGTTAGGTGTGCTCGCTAGCGATTGCGTAAAAAAATGACATTAAAGTATGACATATTGTGCAATGCCCATGCCAATGCCAATGCGGCTACTTTCAAGAAATAAAATCTTCATAGATTTTTTTGACGTACTCGCTAGCGAGCACACCTAACGTAAACTCATGGTAAACATACATTTTACGAATAGGTGTGCTCTGTTTTGAACCAAAAACTTAATCATAGTCCCGAAACTCGGTTAAAAATAAAGATTAGAACGAATCAAGACGAGTTTCCAGGAAAAAAGCTAATTAAGAGATCAACAGAACATGGCGTAAAAACAATACCTTCTTGTATTAATCATAATTATAATATTGTGATAAAATATTTTTATTTATAACCTATCCGGTCTCAAATAAAGGTAAATTAAAATTGTAACTATTTAAGCAAAATCCCCTACGCAAAACTCGGTGGCATAATAACCTGATGTATTAATATTATAATGGATCGGAAATCGGAATCCTAACATGTGTTCCGTGAGTAGGGTCGCCATGAAAACCTTCGAGATATTACTTCGTTAATTGGATTATTTTTCCGTCTACGTGGACTTTTATAAGGCTGTTAAAGTGGACTAGAAACGTGAACCATAAGGCTGTAAGTATCAAAGAAGACCCAAACAATAGCAGAGGTTTAATTATTGTGGACACAACAAGCTACACTTGTTCTTAAGCCAGTTTCAATTCAATTTTCTAGGTTATGTTGCCTGATTTACGATTCACCCTTCTATCACACATCGGTATTGCATATCAAATATCGGTCAGCTGCTAAAAGCGCGCCTAAACGTATGAGTCAACTGAAAAATCGTTGGGTATGTACTACCCGTACCCAATAGCATTTCAGCGAATAAACATAGTTTTATCGCGATAATAGATGTCAATCCATCGTTCTGTCGCGGCATGGTACATTTTGAAGATTGAATATTTGAGTATCATTTATCGCACCACTGAACGACCAAAGTATCTCTCGGCACACCGATATTCAAGACTTAATTAGTGGCGACCACAGAATACAATCTGAGGTACCTAGTGTCAATCTAATGTACTCGCACGGATTATGTTATTTGTATAAGTGATAATATCAATAATAATCTTTCGTAACTTCACAACTACTTCGCACAAATCACTTATTGATTTTGTCTCCATTTACAAACATTAATTTTTTTTTACAATCATTGAATTTTGTCCCACTAAAAACAGTCCACCTGGGTATCCTATTGGCCGTCTGACCGATCGATCAGCGTCTTACGTGGCCCAGAAACTGGAATGGAAATAAAGGGTGCGGTAGGAAACGACCCAACGGCTGTCCTCAGGTGAGTGTATTTCAGGTAGCCGTATTCACAAACGATGCTTGCTTAAGTGAAGCAGCAAATCGAACGCACAGCGTTGAATAGAGCTCTGTGATTGGTTCGTGTGCCACCTTGTGCGGCCACGCGCACTGTGAGACCTCAAAGTAAATGTTTATACGGGCGAACGAGTTGTGGAAAACAAAAGATATCGTTAGGTAACGTAAACGACCATTTTGTAGAGTAACTAATTGGCAGTAGGTACCAATGTTTCAAAATATTGTAAGCATTGAACGATTATGTTATATTTCAATACAAATTCAAACATCAATCAAATTTAATCATATAAACTGTTCACAAAATATGTTGCGGTAGCGACACATTTTGAAACATTGGCACTGCCAATATATTAATGAACTCGACTGTACCTACAGAGTGAAATCCTCACTGTACTATGAATTTTGTTAGGTACTACAATGTAATAATCTAGTTAGTAACAATAGTGCGAATTTGCGTATTTACAAAACACACACAGTAGGTAACAGTTCTTATTTTATAAACGATTAATTCAAATTCAAAATTCAACAAATTATTTGCATAAAATAGGTAGGTAGTACATACGTAGGGTTTAGGTTGCCGAGTTTTTAAAGACTATTTACCTTTACAATAATATTATTCTTTACACAGGACATCAATCATTCACTGTTTTCTTCCTCATGAAGATCTTATAATTTTATTTTTTACTAGCTGACCCGGCGAACTCTGTTCCGCCATAAAGGCAATAAATAAACCATCGCAAATTTGCTAACCGTTTAGACCTTCCCTGGACTACGACAAACATTTTAAAACCAAAATCAGCTCATCAAAAAAATAAGTTGATATAATTTATTAATTGGCTTATGTTTTTTAATTAATTTTCTACGTTAAGTATACCGTAAGTAACAGCTAGTACAAGTTCGTGGCACGTGTTAGCTTAAAATAGCGTTGTTTAACTTAACAGTAATCTGTGGTTTAACTATACCACTTGAACATTATTGAAATTAAATTAATGTCTAGACAATAACTCAAATTGAGAGGCCAATTCTCAGACTATAGTGGTAGTAGGGCACTCAGGTCTTCTGAGCTCAATACCAGTTTGGGGAACTGCGAGCAAGGTTTGACGAAATCAGTTTTCGGTAAACCTAAAAAACAAACTGGATTATAAATCCAATAGTAATTTTTATCCCACTTCGCCAGATGGAGGGTTTGAATGATGATGTTTGGTACTACCTATTCGATTATGTACTTTAGAAGGTTCGCAAAGCTCTCACAGTCTGTCAGACGTAAGAAACAATAATATTGCAATTTCAATTGGTCACATTCTTCTGTTCCCTACTTTAAGTTAATAGCTTCGGTGTTTTTCTTGATCTTTCCAAGGCCTTCGACACGGTCTCAATTCCCATCTTGATCGATAAGTTGGAATCCCATGGCATACGTGGTCGGGAGCTTAGCATCTTTCGAAGTTATCTTCTGCACAGGGAACAATGTNATCAAGCTAGGTTTTTGCTTTGCAAATTGATTAAAAAAATTACCTAGGCGGGTTTTACGTTGTGAAGGTAAATACAGACTCCTAAATACACATAGGTATTAACTTTAGCAAACATATTTGCGCATTATTGTATTATTAACAATGACGTGTAAGTCTTTTGAATAGCTTTTGTGACCTAAATAAGAATAATGATGATTTTATGGCATATAGTCAGTTAGTCAGTCAGTTATTCATTCATCTGTGGTATTGGTAGATTGTGGAATGAAATCCTATTACTATTATTTACCTCGTGACAAGCCAATAAGTAAATAAATTATGACATTGGTAATAGTAATGAATTAAATTATCTTTAGGGCACTTCCTACTTAGTTGGAATTCTAGTGCGACTATCCAACAGTCATCTTCAGTGGCAAGTGCCAACATTTAAGTGGATTTAGTGACTTGCATGTTGATAATGGCTGTTCATGACGTAGCAAAGTGCACAACAATAGCACCTTCTTGAACTCCATCTTGCATAGAGCTTGCACTGAAGTAGCTGCCAGCAGCTTGTGTTTTATTCTTGTTTTCAGCCACTTAGAAGAATGCAGGCCAAAAGGTATAAGGTTTGCTATAAAACTGCTTGCCAAAAGGTGTTTTACCCGACTCCAACTTACCCGAAAATTTAAGATAAAATTCAGTCAAATATTTAACTACTTAATACGTGTAAATCAGCCTTAAGTGTTTACATTAGGGCACACNGTAAACAATTTTTTAGGACATCGAGTACATAACAAAACTTGACTAAAACTTGAAATTATAGGGAAAAAAAGCAATGGATGTATGAAATAAGGAAGAGCCTCCAACGACTGTTGTGTATGGGTGCTTAGAATGTTGACTGCAATTCATGCGGGCGAGTGTGCCAAACTACGGCAATACCATTATTTACTAAAGATGGAAGTTATGACTACATCTATGGCGTCCCGAAGGCAAATGGTGCAATGAATCGCAGATTTGATTGTTGAAATATCCTAAAAGTAGTGATGCAACGAATACGAATATTCGTATTCGCCGAATAGTAGACATTTACCGAATATTCGTATTCGGTTTTTTTTTAATTTTGTCACGCACGTGAGTGTCTCCGAACACTATAACCACAACGACACGACGGGAAAGTATGTAACAAAGTACTAAGTAAGTTCTCTTCCGGAATTTGACAGTCAATTGTACAAGTATTATTTTGTTGCGTGATTAGTTACAAAGTAAAGAGATACAATAACAAAGAAAAATGCCATTTGTAAATTTTAATTACTAAAACATTAACCATAATAAAAAAGTTAAATTTATGAGTATTTCATGACTATGTAGAGATATTCGTATTCGTATTCGCCGAATAGTAGATTTAATATTCGTATTCGTTAAAGTAGTATTCGTTGCATCACTACCTAAAAGTGTTATCTTTTTAAAATGTAAATCTTTTTTTGTGTTTCTCAAGCGCTTGTCGACGCTGCTGATTGTTTTTTACGTATTTTAAGCACACATTATATCGATGCAAATGAACGAGTAGTTAATGAATTCATAATTTAATAATTTTCCTATAAAATTTTCCCGAACCAAAAATTGAGCGGGATAATCGACGATTTATTGCTATTTGGTTTTGCACGATCGAGAAACTTTACAGTACACGCAAACCATTAAGTTATTTTACATGTAATGCTAAGTAGCGGTAAATCGAGAGAAATGTACAATGTACTCGCAGTAGTAATGTTATAACAAACGTGTAATGTATGTTAGCAATGTTATTGTATAACAAAATGTATTACAGCTTCCAGAGTAAGTTACATCACCGCAAGCAAAGTTGTGTTTTGTTTTCAAACTTGATCGCTTACGGTGGAGTAAAATACACGAAGTTGAACAAGCACATGACGTCTCTCACCCCACACGCACTAATTCACAGATTAGACAGTGCCTTCAAGAACTTTCAGAACAAACAATGCTCAAGTCCGATAAGCCGAGCCTTAGGGGCCAAATTGGGCCATTAGCATGACGGGGAAACAATATTTTTCCCATAAGGAATTGCGCCCCCTAAAAGTACGATATAATGACGTTCAGGGCAATAAAAAGTTTAAATTGTAGACGTCGTTTTTATAGCCCAGTAGAAAAGTAATATAGCAAATAGGATTTATTGGTGCATTGTAATTTGTTGACCAAATATGTTAGAGTAAATCCACAATTTGAATAAGTTTAAACTTTAGGATTCTTTTCACTTTTACATAGGCTCTATTAAATCTAAAAAAATACGCCCAAGATTACGGCTCTTTGAGACTTTTATTTACAATATTACAAATGGAGCTACTTTATGGTTCAATGTAAGATATAAATAAGTATGTAAGTAAATTTCCCACGAAAACTTAATCTTTTGGAAAATTTTCTTTTACAAAAAATCTAATCTACTTATAACCAATCCTGCCCAGTATCTCCAATACGATTTTTCTTAACAAACTCAAATAGTCTCCGTAGTTAGCTGTGAAATTTAAGCCCACGGCTGCTTCTTTGGAGTTGGAACATTATCAGCAAGTTTAAATGTGGTGATCTTGGTTCGACGACAGTGTAATTACATACCAATAAAGGTTTAGTATTGAACTTAACTAATTAGAAGTTTTCTTCGGTAAGGGTGGTAAAGCTGGTTTAAGAAGAAAATCTAGTCCATTTCTTTTGGAATTTAACTTACTGATTAATGATTTGCAACGAAAAATTGTAATGAATAAAGGGATGAGTGTAATAGTAGTCAAAGGGTATAATAGCCAATTCATGTGCTTTTCGTTACGATGATTTTGCGCGTTTGTAAGTTCACCACGGAAAATAATCAACAGTGTAACGTCAATATGTTAGGCACGTGAGCAGTCTAAGTACTCACACATAGTTAGTATCTTTAATTGTTTAGACGTGGAAATTATCTCAATTAGTTAATTAATAATGCACGCGCCTCTAATAATCTGGTATACGAACCTACGTATTTCTTACGTATACACCAAATACCAATTGAACTGAGAGCTGGCAAAATGTTTGCTTCCATTCCTGGCTACATTATGTCACTGTACCGAACTATGCCAAATAAGCAAGCCGGCATCATCGATGTTTGCGATCGCCTCGCCCCGTTATAATTTAGCTGCAAGCACACAGAGCTCGTATTACGCAGCCGAAAATTAGCCACCATTGTGGAGCATCAATAATGTGAGTAATTTGGCTACTTGTGGCTGTGGTAATGATATTGATTGGTAAATTACAGCCTTTGGGTAGCCAAGACGGTCTGGCAATGTTATAATAGGTATGTTAGTAGAGGCAACAGTCAGCGTTTGTTATTTTCTGGTATATTTTGTTACAAGACAGGTAATGTAATCTTGTCATCTGATCCAGTAGGTACCTAGGTAGGTACTAGGGCTTTAAAAATATTTTGACATCATTTTAATATAAATTAGTACTTACTTACAGTTGTTACTAGTTGTGAACTGATTATGAATCA